ATATATATGCTTACTATCACCTTATTGAGGAAGGTTGATTTGATACAGATAGTGGAAATGAAGACAGACATCGAGTTTATGCGTTCAGCAATAAACGTTATAGGACTGATACAGCAGCAATGCGCAGCCTCCGCGGTGTTGTCTCCAATCGATTATTCGGCTGGTCTTTAATGCCACAATTTTGCAGCTGGCATAAAAGAGCCCATCCGATATTCCAATCTTTTGGCCCAGTCATTTGGCGTCTGACACAAGGTTGCAATGAAGGCGATTTCGCCTTGATGGGTTGTCTTTTCCGCATCTAATTTGTATACATCTGGTATCGCTTGTTGCACTCCTGTCAGATTCTAGAGAACCCTTCACCGGATCGGACGATGTTATCAATCCACCAGGCAGTCTTTCTACGATGCTGCACAAGAATGTCCATCTTGAAGGGGTCGAGGTGTTTTGGGATCTGTGGGACACACGGAAACAACAAGACTGTGAGGATAGCCTGTCTAGTGTTGAAACATCGAATGTTGGTGGACATGAGAGGAAGAACAGTCCGCAGGGCATATCGGATGATTTGTCGGGTGCAAGCAGAGTGCCTAAGGTACGTCAAGTTCTTCATTTGAATGCCAGGTTTAATCAGACAATAGCTATCATTAATAGCTGTGTTGTAGCCTATCTCAAACCCGCTCGCAACACCGCTTAGACTGACTCAGTGAAAATGGAGTTTGGTTGTAAGCCTCCCAGTACTTATGATGCTGTTGTGCTCTAAAAGAGCCTATCTTAGGTAGCGAATGCGTTCGAACGCACCAAGTCTAGGCGAACTAGCTTAGCTTAAATGGACCTGGAGCATCTACCATACTTACCGAATAACAATACCAAGCATTATAGCTGGCCATCTTGAATTCGAAGTAGCGCAAGTCGGAGCGTGTGAAGAATTCCATGTAACCCAATTGTCCTACCGATGCCATTGTGAATCGCGTCTTTGTGATAGTTTGTGTGAAACAGTTTTTCAGTCTCAAAATAATTGCCCCGAAATACGCGCGCCTGTGCAACCGGATTGCAGAAATGTGAAAGCAAGTTCATTCTTAAATTGGTGTGAGCTGGTCTCAAGTGATTGTTGGCGACGCGTTAGTGGGCGTTATTGCATGGCAACATGACTTGGAAGCGGTGGCCGTCGAACTGGCTGCTGCGACATCTTCGTTGAGTGGGTCTCACGTGATTCTATTTGTAGGCGGTTAGAAACCCTGCAGGGAATGGCACGCAAGCGGCCCCACTGGCACACATACCGTCGTTTCCTAGTCGAACAAGCAAGCTAAAGTCCGTGTTTCGTTGCGCACTGAGCTCATATCGGTTTAAGTTCGCAAAGAATGTCGGGTGGATCCCGTCGATGTCGTCCTACTTCAACATGATTCTCAGATGTGTTTATCTGAATGCTGACGATTCTTTTTAAGGACATAGCACATAGGTGTGTTCACACTAACCCCCTACCCTTCTCTTTTCTTTCCACTGTTTACTAAACATTTCCCCCCTCATGGCTATATGGAAGTTAAGCGCCGGTATTTATTACTGGTGTATTTCTGTCGCTCACAGAAACTGTCACTATGGTAAAAGCTAGTAAATTTCCATTCGGAAGACACCTCACAAACGCTAACTGGAGTCGCACCAGAGTCCGAAATTGTGCACGATGTCAGTTGAACTATCATCGATGCGTTGCGAGTATTCTGTTCAGTGACTGTAAAGTTGTGCTAGGTTAATAAAAACTAGTAAATGTCTGGCAGGGGATCGCAATGATCGCGTAGTGTTGCGTTTTCGGGCGGTGATACACCTGTAGCTGTGTTGTAGGGGTCTCGAAAGACTGTAATTGTGGTTTTAAAAGTTCATCTGTCCATCTCTTAAACGAATACCCTCTGAAGATTTTGGTTTTCAAGGGCGCTTCGTTTGGCACAAGAAACCTTTTTCGGCAGCAGAATCCCTCACAGAAGAGATAAGCTCGCCATAGGACCACTTTCGGCCTGTCTTTTGAAGAGACAACAGGTCTGCAACCGGAAAAATTTAATGAAATAGACCTTTAGAAAACACTCCAGAAATCCTTTCCAGTGGTTTTCCTAGAGTTTGGAAGTAAAGTTGCGTTGGTAAAGTAGTTCCAACTTCAAAGATCGTCAGCACGGACTTAACACACCGAACATAACTATTTGGAAAGCTCATAGGAGACGAGCTGCAAGTGGCCTTTATGGAGAAGGAAAATTTCAGTAGTTGTGTGCAATATAGATGAAAGTCGTATTGTATGAACCATCATCACTCAACGGGAACAGTGCTGTGTTTATGATGTTGTTGAGACACCTGATTTGTATAAATTCAGAGGAATCTAGTGTGCAAAGGAGTGTTAATGTTACAGGACCAGAGTGAGGTGGTGTTAATTTGGGTTTATTGGGCCAGTGTGCGTCTAGGATTGTAGGTGTTTGTGGTAAATTGGAAGCTAGTTTTGTTTATCAAAATGCTTGCCACGGTTCACGTGCCTGTTCGCTTGTCGTAATAGATCTTTGCATCGTAATATGTAGTTGTATATAAACAAACCGGGACTGTTTGAGCCTTTTTGTTGCTGAAGGGCTTGCGCTGATCTCGACTGGAATGACCTACACATACTGGCGTAAGCGAGAACCACAAGTAGATTTTTTAATAGCAGCACGTCACATCCCCGAAAACGCCGTAAACAGGCATACTGAAGTCTGTCTTATCTGCCAACTACTAATGAGGACTCCTAAAAAACGAGCAATCAGGAGATAAACTTGTAGAGACTTTACGGAGCTCGAAGCAAGAGAAATGTACCGGACCAATCAATCTGATTGGAATATGCCTCCAATCAACCAGCCGAAATTCACACAGACATTCATCTGATTAACCGACAGATGCAGAGGTAAGCCCCCACAAGGAAGAAGCTAGCGAAGTACTATCAGCCAATCAACCCAAAAAAAAAAATCAAAACACAACACAAATTTGGAACGGGCAGGCGGTAACTCAACATGTGTAACGCATGACCCAGCCATATTGGCGTTCTTTGAGTGAAGTATCCCCTGCTCCACCAAAATTCTGTCTTTCGATTAACTCTGCGAATTCGCCCTTTCCAGCCGATCTTAGCTGTATTTCTGAGACATCGGTAATCGGAGACCTGAAAATGTCTCGGATCCTCCAACTGAAGCGGCGAAGTCTCGCAGCCGTACAACGGTACATTCCGCCTTGTAGTCTGATATACGCGACCTGGCAACGAAGTATAGTAACACTAACCGGTAAACTGAGTTCGGTCGGCAAATGCCGTCGTGTTGGCCTGGAACCCCGGGACTCAACTCACTGCCATCGCAAACGGCAGGACTCTTATGGTGGGTGCATTATTTGTCCTCCTTCCACAAGGAAGTGACCTGTTTTGATGAAACTTTCGGGCTTCCTCGATTTCGCCAGCTGCTCGGTCGCCTCAAGCGGTCCTTTCAGAACGGGGCAACCGTGGCTAATATGTTGGATGTCATGCGCTGTACCGGTGTGGTCGCTGTGAGGACTGCACTCTTGATTATGCAGTGCCATCTTACTAATTATGTATTGTTTGTAGTCTCGTTATCGGATTACTCCAAAACCTTTATCAAATTCTATGGTTAGTGAATCCTATTTAGCAAACTGCTGTTTGCTTTGTCACCCGATTGCTCTTCGTTCCCCTTTAGGTTGCTACTGTGTGTCCAACCGAGGAAAACATGGTCGCTTCAGCTAAGCTGCTGACTCTCACAGGTGTTCATACGGCTCGCGTGAGTGTAAGATGTCCGCTATTCTCTTTAAATCAAACAAGACCAGGTGAAGCACATGGCGACATCAATTCACCCGAACCACAGTCCTCAAATCCATGGTCCTTGTTCGAACTCCGCATTCATCTTGATCTCGGCGCCATCGTTGCCTGTGTTTGTCCTAGCCAGTTCTATTGGCTGCAGCTCTTGGTTGGACGGCTGTCTCACATATGGAGCAAGTATACGGAACAGGTCACTTCCGAGCGCACCGCTCAGCAGTTTTCGCTCGGCGCCACGTTGCCTGTGCTTGTCCTAGCCAGTTCTACTGGCTGCAGCTCTTGGTCGGACGGCTGTCTCACATATGGAGCAAATATACGGAACAGGTCATTTCCGAGCGTACCGCTCAGCAGTTTTCGACACCAAATCCCTTTGTCCTAGCCAGTTCTATTGGCTGCAGCTCTTGGTTGGACGGCTGTCTCACATATGGAGCAAGTATACGGAACAGGTCACTTCCGAGCGCACCGCTCAGCAGTTTTCGACACCAAATCCCCGGAGCCCTGAGGACTCATCCTCTTGCTTTCCGAATTCTACCGGTCCTGTTGAATCCCGCCAGGTTCGTATCTGTTCAACCTTGGAATTGGTGTTATTTATGTGTTTATTTGTGTATATCCGAGCACATTGAAAACTCTGGTTTGACGATGTTCTCTTTTCACGAATCCATCAACCAGTTTACGTTTCCAGTTCAAAACTGTCTCCTGTTTCCAATTGTTAGTGGCACTCTTGTATCTTCGGAACATGTGATAACGTATCTTCAACTCGTTTAAGACTTTTTAGATGTCCAGCGGTTAGGAGTGGTTGGGTCCCGTAAGGCCATCCACACTCGTTGTTACTGGGGATCACGAGGCTGGCGCAAAATGACCGGTTCCCTTCCCGGTTAACTATTGGATCACACACCCACCAACTATCTTGGAGAGCTGGCGGCTTTGAATTTACTGCAATTTTTGCGTACCTGGCCTTCTTGTTACATAATCATTCGGGGGATAGAATGCGTAATTTTCAGGTTCTTTGCGAGCAGAGGGAACTAGTGATCTGTGCCACAACCTTAAATGAGTATCCATCCCAGCCCCCTTTCGTAAGAAATCAACAACAATAAGAAGTACTTGGAGCTGCTAGGTCGTCACCCCGAGCATTACTGTATCCTCATTTTTGCTGTTACCGATGAATTTGAAGCAGATGAGAACAACGTGGGTACATGGTTTGTAGTCAAATGGCTAAATTGAATTGGGCCAAGACCGTACTCGGGGAGGTGACTGTCACTTCCATAGTATTCTTACAGGAGTCTGTATTCTTCTGAGGAGTGTTTCATGGTTTGTCTTAGAACGTGGTCGGCTGCGCTCCTCTCAGACCAGGGATAGGTTAAAAGTGCTATTGGTTTTTCACATTTCACACTAGACGTCACTTTATTGCTAATTTGAAACGCAACCTCCTATAAGCCTCACGAACTGCTCCCATTTCAGGAGTTACCAATAAACTTTCTGACAGAACCGTCACGAAGAGACTGGACCTTACCGTGGTGTGACGGTTTGCGCACCTCAGCGATCGATTGAGCTATACTGGAGAGTGTCCCGCGACACTCACAGTCTCTCATACCAGGTTGGTCAGTGGTTAGAGGTCTGACGAACACAGTCTCCTGGCCCTCCAGGTTGGGGGTTGGAACATGTGGCGACTTGTTCCGTAGAAATGGTAATGCATTTGCATTTCCCGCCAAACACCGCTGCCTTGCGGTTAGGCTTTTGAACCAAAGGCTTTGGTTGAGGACCCTAATCGTCCTCCTGTCTAGGTGTGGGCGCCCTGGCAGTATCCCAGCCCTCGTACAACCATGACCTACACAACTAACAATATTCTCATGCCACATCGGCCGTCGCGTGGTGCCATCAGCCGGGTCGCCTTACTTGCTGCATACAGCAGGGCGGGTAAGCGAAAACAGGCTACTGCTGACGCCTCCCTTCTTTCTCCTTCACATACTTTTTCTTCCCCCTCTCCCCACCCCATTAATAACTCTCTCCTTGTAGGCCCAGCACTTAGGACTGATGACTCCGTTCGTCATGCATCGGTTTTGCGTGCAGC